TCTCCTTTCTTTCTTTCTTTCTTTCTTTCTTTCTTTCTTTCTTTCTTTCTTTCTTTCTTTCTTTCTTTCTTTCTTTCTTTCTTTCTTTCTTTCTTTTGGTGGTCTTGGATTTTCTAAGGCCAGTTCTATCTGTAAACATGTTATCTCATTGTCTCTCTCCCTGTATACTCACGATCACAGCATTTGGGGTCTGAACCGTGGTTTGGAGAACTTGACCCTGGAGGCTGTCTAGAGGAATGTACAAACACCAAAGCAGGACAAGGACGGTCCACACAGGGAAGGGTATTTGAGCAGAGTCTTCGGGGTGGGTGGAGTGTTCCAGGTAAGGGAGGAGAGAGGAGGTGAGCAGGGCTGATGTTCACAAGATCGTGAGGGCATGGCCAGCAGCTCTCTAGGTATTCGTGGTAGGCGAGTTCTTAGTGGGGGGACAGTGGGGACAAAGGCCCAAAGACACTTGCCCCAGGGATGAGCTTATGGAGCTGCGCGTGGGCCAGTGTTGCAGAAGCATTGAGAATGAAGAGTGAAGTTGTGGAGTGTGGTGGTATTGTGTTCCCCAAAGTATTATGAACCCTAATAAACTTATCTGGGGTCAGAGACAGAACAGCTACAATATTAAACATGAGGATAGGCAGTGGTAGGTAGCACACGCCTTTAATCCCAGCATTCCAGAGGCAGAAATCCGTCTGTTCAAGGATACAGCCAAGCATTGTGACTCACGCCTTTAATCCCAGAAAGCGAGCCTTTAATCCCAGGGAGTGGTGGTAGAAAGGAAAGATATATAAGGCGTGAAGACCAGAAACTAGAAGCATTTGTCTGGTTAAGCTTTTAGGTTTTGAGCAGCAGTTCAGCTGAGAGCCATCGGATATGAGGACACAGAGGCCTCCAGTTTGAGGAAACAAGACCAGCTGAGGATCCGGTGAGGTGAGGTAGCTGTGGCCTGTTCTGTCTCTCTGATCTTCCAGCTTCACCCCAATACTTGGCTCCGGGTTTGTTTTATTAATAAGACTCTCTAAGATTCCTGCTACAGTGGAGGAAGAGGGTCAAAGGGCTTTGAGGGCTGTACTGGAGGGAGGTGGCCACACTTTCAAACGAAGGAATACACTATAAACCAAATATAAAATTGTGTGTGTGTGTGTGTGTGTGTGTGTGTGTGTGTATGTGTGTGTATGTGTGTGTGTGTGTGTGTGTGAGATATGAAGAGAGTTGCTTCACATGATGGTCCTCATTTCAACCTTGCTCCCACAAGCGACGTACTTTCATTTTTTTTATAAGACACATGATTGTTTCTGGGCAGCTGACTTGCAGCAGCCCGAGGCTGCAGTTTAAAAGGAAGAGGAACAGGAAGCCGCTCACACCCAAGGCCGTGGCGGACATCCTCCACACCATCTGCATTTCTGCCTTCTGATCTTGAGATTTAAAAAAAAAAAAAAAAAGATCTCACTGGACGCTGGGCATGGTGGGGGATGCCTGTAATCTCAGCACTGAGGAGACAGAGGTGGGGGAAATTGCATGTTCAAGGCTGGCCTGGGTTATATAGACTATGTCTCCAAAACAAACAAATAAGCAAACAAGCAAACAGAACCATAAAGGTCAAACCATCATATGCTTTAAAATACCATAGTGTAGATATATTAAGAATTATAGAAAGCAAATTAAACCCAAATAATAACATCAAGCTAGGACACAATGACACTAAGTCTGGGTGACAGGAGAGCTGGCCTTGAGTTCTGGGGCTTCTCATGGACCTTCTGACTGGAGCTCCTTTCCTACTCTGATATCACATTCTGCATTTAGAAGGGGCTTGGACGAGTTGATCTCTAAGGCCTTTCTAGGTCTCACCTGCAAGCATCACATTTTCCATTTGGACAGTGCCATGGACAAAGGACCTCCATTCTTAGTGCAGAGGAGATGAGACCCAGGGCTGAGAATTCCAGCGGCTGGCAGGGGCTGTGGAGCATCCCTTTCTCGCTGTCCAGTGAGGGGCATTTGGACATGTCCCACTATCAAATTTCCCCCATCCACACGGCTTCCATTTTTCCCGGACCAAGGGTGCTTTTATGAAGAACCTCACATTTTGTCAGAAGCCAAATTAACTTTGTGTCCGCCGAAGCATTGCCTTAGCTGTTTTCGACCATAACACAACCGTGGGAATGGAACTAAAAGGATGGATAACAAACTGACAGGCACTAGGATCTTCTGAGCTCATGCGTCTACAGTCAGACATGATGTGAAGGGCACTGTGTTTATTAAAGCACCTAATCCCAAGCGGAAGGTGCCATCACTACCGCTGTATTACAGATGGAGACATAGGCACACAGAACTTAAATAACCAGGACTCTCTTCTCACTGGGCTTGAGGAAAGTAGTGACGTCGGAACCAGATACCCAACTCCATGAACCCTCCATCCACTGCATCTCTTTTCCTCAAGTCGGGCTCTCCTGGAACTCT